AAATTTTTTTTTTTTTTTTTTTTTTTTTTTTTGAAAACTTGGCTTTAGGAACATTTATCTGTTTTAGAATACATCCTTAGTTAAAATGCTGGTCTTCTCGTAAAAATAAACAATTTTTGCTCTTGAAGTGAACTCTGTATCATCTGTATATTTGGAATTGTTGTTCTTTATTTTAAGGTTGTTGGTAAATGATTAGGAGCTCTTGCACATTGACAGTCCCATGTATCGCAGCTTGCGAGTAGAAGAAGGTCCCAAAAAGGCTTCTTCTCCACGCAAACCGCGATAAGCAGGTTGTCTCCACCGTCGCAACTTGCAGCAGTCGAGGAGACATGTCGATCGTGCCACACTCGACTAGAGACTGTGGAGTTTCTCCGCGGTGCTGTGATTCTTCAGCATGCAGATGGAGATTTATAAGTGGCAGTAAAACATTATGGACGAGTTTGATCTTTTGTTACAATAGGAAGGCAGAGAGGTCACTAAAAACTACAGCGTAGTGATAAAAGGTGGTTGGAAAGGGTGACGTCAATTCATGGCTGCTATAGAGTCTGAATATCCAAGTTTGAGGTAAAGAAGGTTAGCCCGAACAGATTGTCATGATGTGGAGGAAGCGGGATTTGTATAGCCCTACAGAAACGAGTTAAGCCAAGTGGTGCCTAGTATGGAATGTCAGGAGTGATGGCTGGAAGCAGCTGACGGTCAGACGTTTATCGTGCGTGTAGTTCAGCTCTATAAAAAGTAAGTATTTTACTTTATTCTGCGAACATGAGTGCTCTGTGACCGATCAGGGGTCTATGAAGAAAATTCACATTTTTCTCAGAGAACCATATGATAGTGGGTGGTGCTCCGCTATTTGTGACCGAAGGTGGTACAACGCATTGTCGCCGTATTTTTCCACACGAATTCCTGTATGTGTGAGCTAAGAAGTGCTGTCTTTGTCCCATGCATTAATTCATTATCCTCACTAAATTTCTGTCATGAAGAGCTCAGTGATGTTTGTACAGGTACTGAACTTGGGATTTATAATGTGCAGATTTTATTTAACAGCCTGTTGCGTACATCTTTCTGGCATCAGTAGCAGGAGGTTTAGAGCTCCCCTTCATTCCGTTGATACGATAAAGCACCTATTGGTTTCTCGCTCAGTGCCAGCAAAAACCCGTTGTAATCTCTCCTGGTAAGGAGCATTTCTTCATTCTCCACTGTTTTACCAGGATCCCATGGTCGTTAAAAGAGCGTGTTCTGAAACACTGTAAAAAGATCCTTAAAAAAATTTATCTGTTCACCTTGAGTATGAGAGGCGAGTTTGCTACCCGTCTCAAGTTGCCAGATTCAAAACCACAGTTGGTAGTACTAGAAATTGAACCATTGCCGATACACCGCAATAACCTTGTTGCACTACCGTTTAAAGGTTTGTTTAAGGAAGTATAAAAGTTGCGGTGATACTGTTGTCCCCTTCTCTTCGGTGTTATGCTCCTCGCTGTCCCCTTCCTCAAATTTCCCACCAAAAAATACCTCACAGTCAGAGAGCTGGGGCCGTCAATCTGCAAGATAATGAATGATTATTCTCTTAAATTTAATCGAGACGGCTTATTTAACTTTTACGAGTTTTGTTAAAGTTCGCACTGTGTGGTGGCAGAATTCTGTTTGGATAAAGAAATCTCAAGTTTTTGTCATTATTCTTGGATTTAGACTCTTGGTTTAATTCAAATTAAATAAGAAGGAATTTTTGGTTATTTCCAAGAAGTTGACTTTAATGTGATTGCATTTTTCTTACGTTTGTTGATTTTTTACTTCCACTGAATATGACTGTTGTAGTTATATTATCTGCTGTTTTTAGTGTGTCTAGATACAGATGTAACTGGAGGCGTAGAGAATGACGATGAGATCTGTGGCAACAATTCGTGTAGTTCACATGGTAGCGAGCCTGGTAAACTTCATGAAATCTTTATTGTTATTTAACGAGATCATGAGTTCATCGATTAGATTCTGCTTCTGAGATAGGGTGAAGTTCATATTAAAGGATTCTCCTACGAAAATCTTGGTGGAATGTTCAATACGTCATATACAAGGTTATCATCTGATGGCTGCGATTTATATGTTTCCGCCAGCAATATTCAACATACTCAGGTAGTGTGTTGCACTTATTTTTATCTAGAAGATCGAGTTCTGGGAATTGTTATTGATGATCAGTAGAAACATTGTACGTTATCCTTTGGTTTGTAATTTGCAAAGCCTTTTGAGAAGCAAAGACACCAATCAGAATTGTCTGCTGTAAAAACGGACTTTGTTTTTTATTTTTCTAACATAATTTTAGTTGAACAGCTCTGCAATTCACGATAGCTCGTGTATTTTATTTGGTTCACAAAAAATAGACGAAAACTCTCCTTCATTCAGGTACTGTCAATGGCTAGACGTCTTTTTCTTTTTAGCTAACAGATTTATAAAATTATTTAGTTTTCACTTTTCATACTCCAGAACTAAGTGGGTTTATTGGTAGTTGTACATGGCACTTTTTGGAATATGCTAGCAAAGCTTGAAGGGGTGGATTAAGATGAAGCAAACACAAAGAAGGAATTAAACAGAACTTTCCGGAAATGTTTGAAATTGAGATTTCGGGTGGAACTTTTAATTTTTTATTTGCTTGTAAATTAACTGACCTTTTAAGAACGAAAACCTTATGCGACAATTTTGTTTTTAATTATATGGGACCAAACAGTCACTTTTATTTATAACTTGACAGTAAACTCCAAATTCTTCTTTCATTTATTCAAGCATGCCACCATATAATGAGTCTTTTAGGGTAGATCTAAATCTTGCCTACACCAAATAAGTTTGCAGTCGGTGGTGAGAAGTTTAGTTACTGTAAGATTGTCTTCGTTGAGGTCCTTTAATGATGTCCTGTTTAAGGAGAAAGGTAATTAGATACTGTCATAGCGGAAGTTTTAACATTTAACAACTTAGCGAAGGTAACATTCGAAGGATTAAAAACTGCAGCAGTACCTGTTTCGGTTGTCAGCACAGCTTAAGGACACAGGTTAGAAATGAAGCAGCAAACAGTTGGCAGTAAATGTAACTTCGTAGTTTCTTATGCGAAGCTCAGAATCATAGTATTGAATGGTTGTGGAGATTTGCTGTGTGGAGGAAAAAGTACCTTTGAAAGTTACCTCGTTTAGCGTGTACCATAATAGGAGAGGATTGCTGGTGGTAAGCACTGGGATCATTATAGAGGAGTTATTTCTGATTTGTTGTGAAATTTTTCGAAAACGAAATATTCTTAGGGAAAAAACTCTAACGTGACACAATGCCAGTTTTTAATTTGAGGGTACCTGGAGGTTATCCGAGCCACCTTCTTAAAAGATCTAAACTTAAATCACTCGCGTTTTTGATTCCTACCTATTGTGTATTGTTTATCAATGTTTCACCTCTTTATGCTTGCAACTTCTTGCTTTCGTTCCTTTTTCTGGTTGAAGTGTCAGAGTAAGTTTAATTTTTATTTGTTCTTTTTAAAAGTATAATTGTAATAACTTTGTTAAATGCGCACATATTGTAGTTGCTGTTTTGATTACTGCAATCTACGTTTAAAGTTGTTTAAAAAGGCGTGAAGAAAATTGGTTATGGACGACAAATTAGTCGAGATAGAGGTTCATGAAATGATAGGATAAGTACGGTCTCTTACTAAATTAGAAAACTTTCAAAAATATTACTTAAAAAAATAGCCAGCACTGAACTAAATTGGGAAGGAATGACGAGGAAAAAAAGCGGAGACATAATGTGTCTAATTTATTAAACCTTGCTATTTGTTTCTTTTATCATTTCATGAGTCTTCATCGTGACTAACTTGATCTTTCACAATCGGTTTTTTTTACATTTTGTTAAACTACTGTGGACGTAGATTACAGTAATCAAAACAACAACTAAGATACACTGGTGTTTAACAAAGTTATTAGTATATGTAAAAGTTAAAGTCACTCTCACATTTCGACTGAAAAAGGAAACGAAAGCTAGAAATTGTAAAGGTAAAGAGATAAAACATTAACAGGCAATATGCAGTAGGTTACAAGTCATGAACGCAGGTGACTCAAAAGTTTAGCATATCTCGAGGAGGTGACTCGGATAACCTTCAGGTACCTCCAAATGACAAACTGGCACTGTACCGAAGCCGCCGGAATTTTTTCCGTAAGAAAAAGTACTTTGTTCTTGAAAAATTTTACACTAAATTAGAAGTGAGTTCCTCTATAAAACATTTACTTTTTTTGACGGAATGAGACTGATTTTTCAGCTTCCTCTAACTGAGCGAAACAAGATATAAACTTTCAAGCACTGAACCAATTTTTTTTAATGAAAGTTGAACAGTAACGAGGTTCACATTCACACTCCAACTTTCAAATGCCTACGAGGAGTTCCTTTTCAGTTCTTCTGAACATTTTTTTCAAACTTTGCCTTTTGAGTCGTAAAGGCGCGTGCTGGCGAAATATTTGTTGTGTTTGAGTTTAATTATAAATATTCTACATTTTTACACTACCACAACTTCAATATTGTTCACTTTAATTATTTCAATGAAAAATTTTTTTTAGGACTTCTTTTTGTTGCTTTATTCTTGAGGCTGTTCGTAACAGTCATTCTTTTCACACTTACTTCAATTTAATTTAGGAAGGAACTATCAACTAACCAATATTTGAACTTCAATTTGCAACCGCTTACGCGCACCGGCTCTTCATATACAATTTCGCAGAGACCGATAACTTTAGACTTACATCAGCCATCGACACCAGCTGAAAGTGGGATCGCCACAGCTGGTAGTTCGTGCCAGAGTCTTTCCAGTTCAGAAAACATAGTTCCTCTCCTCGCTGAATTAGGTTCTTTACCGATCTTTTTAGGCTGAATAACTGATATAGTGTTATACTGTGGGTTTCAACAAAAATAATTTTTTTTTAAAGAAACGGAGATTTAAACTGACTTCTTTTCTTGTTACGTTTTTCGACCGACGAGATCAGACAATTGAGCTTACATATTTCAGCCCTGAAACGAGCACCAAAAATCCCGCCTCGACCGAAACGAAAGTCAGAAGATGATAATGTTAGTCGACAAAGGCTCAGTCCAGTTTCGCAGTCACCGTAGCAGTTTGTTGTTCTAATAGTTTTTTCTAACACTCAGATTAATTTTTCTTTAGCGAGTTGTTTTATTCTTTTTATTCTTATTCCTAGTACGTCATAGGGTTTTTTGTTCCTTTTGATTTTTGATTTTGTAATTGGCCTAATAGGGCAATTCAAAATGTAATGAGTCGTTTGAATATATGGTTTCAAGAAAAAGGTTTGATTTAGCTGTTAATAGACCAAGTGGGCTCTCTGAATCAGAAAGGCGCAGGCGCCTATTTTTTTTAGAGCAGAACAAAGAGGTCTGCTGTTGGCACGGAAGTCTACCCTTCCCACTCTTCTGAATTATATATAAAATGAAAACAGTCTTATCCAGTATCCGCCTTGAGTTAGCATTTTTGCGTATATATATATATATATATATATATATATATATATATATTGAATTCATTTTTTAAATTCTCGTGTTTTCTCCTGTGTTGTACAATGCTTTCTAGAATTGCATATTCCAGAACCACCTTGATTGCTGAGGATGTGCTTCTTTAACTCAGGTTTTATTAATTCTCAGTTGTCGCTTGTAATTTCTTGTATATTTGTTAATCTGCCTGTTTTTTCGTCATCTCTTTTTAAGAAGAAACTAAGGATTTTAACCAATCAAGCAGTTTGCCTTTTTTTAGAGCTGACTAGTCATTTTTCCTTTCTCTTTTCTTCGTTTTTTCTTTCTTGTACGTGTCATAACACTTAATGCTACTTGACATTTCTGGAATTAAGTTTTTTTTTGCGGTTTGCTGTAATAAAATGTAAACAGTCATATACGTTGGATTGAAAATAAATATAACTGGATTCGTCAGTAGTCATGCTTCAAATTCGAGTGTCTTATGCTTTTCATCATATTTTGCTTATGTCATGATTAATCAGCTATTTATTAGTTAGCTCCTCCGTACGGCTCGTTTAGTGAGCTGAACACTTATGCTACTGACTTGTGAGACTGGTGATTATGTTTTGTGCTGAAAGTTATTATCTTATTCCTAGGTCGGACAGAAAACTGATCTCTACAGCAATTGCTTATGAGCTGCTTGTGGCTAGATCAGGTTCTGCTACTGATGAAGCCTATTGCAGTAGCGTGGCGGGTGCAACTTTGAAAGGTGTTCGCCTGTGTAATTTGTAAACAGCCTCGACTTTATTTTGTGTAACCCTGTCTTTGGGTTTGCAGACAGTGGAGCCAAGTGATATATAGAGCGAAATAAATTGAATAGGTTTAGCTAGTCAATCACTTTAGTTTATTTGAGTGTAGTATTGGTACGTTTTCGGAGAGGTCTGCTTGGTGATGCCAGTATAGTTGGGGTGGTGTCACGAAGTTAGCGTACCTTTGCTGCCTGGGACTCACCAACTACATCAGATGTCGTGGGTCATTTTACTTCAGAGGCATTTGTAAAAGAGGTTGGAGACATCACTATGCTCTGCGCGTGCGAGTAAGATGGTGTTATGGGATACAGGATTCGTTGTCTTGTAAATTACATCTTGCTCTCCGTTCGGCTTTCTTAGACACTTAAATTAGTGGTACTGTTCAGTTGCCTTAGTTCTCCGAACTTACCTGTGAATTTTTGAGATGGGAGATGGTGACACCAGTAACTTTTCTTTAGTTAAGCATTGTTGAAATGTAACCAGTTGATTTTACAGTACATGTTTCCGTGGATTTTAGGTGTTAGGAGGCTGACTTGCTAGTGATTTCCTCATCTTGTTGGCAGCGGATGGTGACAATCAAAATATAATCTTGTTAAAAAGAGTTAAGTGTTTTGTTTGATTTTTCAATTCTCAAGTTTTGTTACCTTTTTCAAAGTATTTTGTAAACAAGTAAAAAATTGAAGGTTTTTTCCCCCAGTAGCTATCGGTCCGTCGTGATTTGGCAGTAAAAAAGTTTTGGTATTAGATTGAAAACGGTTTTCTCAGTGCTGACCTGCTACTGTAAAATTTGGACTAGGAACAGTTCTGCGTTCGTTTTAATAGTTTGTTCATTATTACCACGTAGAATATCTGTCTGGCAAAAGCAATTGTGCTTGGATCATATTACTTTTTGTTTCATATTTTGCTGGATTTCAGTTTGAAGGGGACAGATTATTTTAAATGAGTGGTGAGAGTGAACGCATTTTGTTGAAATGCTGCTAAGGAGGAGGGATTGAGTAGCAACTAACAGCTGTATATAATTTTTACATTACTTCAAATAGAAAACAGTGGTCAACAAATTGGAGAAATGTTTTAATGAAGAAAGTGATAACTTATGAAGTTCTGAATTATTGAAGCTGGTTGATGCAAACGGCACTGAAGTGGAATTTTATTCTGCTGGGTCTCTAGCTTTGGAAGTGTCGGTAGTGTTTTTTGATAGTTTCAAAGATACTGTTTATTAGTAAGTGACTTTATGAGGCAGTGCTAGCTTTTTTTGGGAGCTGGAAGAAGGACAGGCAGTTCGGTCTAGGGGGTGTCAAATGTTTATTTAAGTGAAGCGTTCAAATTCTTGTTTTGCTGGCGTTTCTGGTTTTGTACTTTTTTTTTTTTTTTTTTAAGAACCACACTTTTTCCTCGAGTCAGCTGGTCATAACTTTTTTTTTCCAGTTCTTTCTTGCCCAATTTTAGCTTGTTATTTTTTATGGTTGCAGAGGCAACAACAATATTTTGCATTTATTGAGCCTTATCAGATGAAATGCTCAAGAGATTTTATAGCGTTTCAATATGTTTAAGAAAAGTGAAGTAAACTGACCCGTACCAGAATTCTTCCGTTTTTCTTTGCTTCGGTATTGGAATTGTCTCACTTTTTACTTAGCTGTTTAAACAATGTTCGATTAATTTTCGAGCTTATTACCGGCCTCCCTGCTGTATGGGGCCCTGAGAATGGTCAATGTGACGGTGTTATGTCCAAATTCTCATCGTTGTACGATAAAAATAAATCCAACGTCGCAGCTTCAGTCGGTTAGGTTATCTTTCTCGTATACGACTTTAAATTTCAGTTAATTTGTAATTCCCTGCTGATAAATTGTTTGTAAAAGAATTTAATTTTGTGATTTGATCAATATTAGTGTATTAGAATGAGCTGAATGAGCATCGCTCTAGTCTGCCTAGTCTGTTGTATACTACTCAAATATTGTACAAATGTCCAGTGCCAAGATATTTTTGCAGATTCTTGAGGAAGCCTGTTATAGAGAAGGATATGGAGTGGATTTTTATCGCCTTGTTCACTGTGGCATACCTTTAGATTTATCTTTGCCTTTTCGACTTACTGGACTCCCTAATAATGTGACTCTTGAAATGGAACGTTTTAGCCATTCTAGTCACATTTCTGAAGTTGATGTTGCTTTTCAGGTGTGTTAAGGCTGTCTTTTACCTTTTAAATAGTTTTTTGACCCTAAAAATGATGCCAGTGGATGTTTTAGCTGCCTAGCGGGGAGCGAAAGTGCTTAAAGTTTTCCTTGAGCAACACTTTGATGGAGGTTGTGAGAAGATTTGCCGAAGAATTCAATATAGATCTTTTAAAAGGAGGCGAGGAAGGTTATATTCCTTCCTGTTCTTATATAAATAAGACGGTATCAGTACTTTTCTGCTCTTGTTGTATGAATCAGTACAGTTGCGAATAGTACAGAGTGCTCTTGAGTGGGGTTTAAAGTGACTGAAACTTTAATGTTTTTATCATTAACGCGTTTTATGTTACAACTTTGTTTGTCTTAGCAACTTTAACTTTATGTTTTTAAGTAGTCTTCTTTCACGTGGTTATTTATAAAGTCGTTTACGGAAGCTTGAGAAGCTTTTCACTATGAAATTATAAGTTTTTTACATGTAGTTGGGATATCTTTTGTAGAATACGTGAAGAAGAAACTTAAATAAGATTTATATTATTTACGTTTCTTTGACTTCAAAACATCTTGGACATCTGTCTATATAGTTTTTTGAATGAGTTTGTTTATAGTATCGCGGAGCAGATTTATTGGAAGGAACAACTCTGAAGTCTATGGGTATGGCTGGCGGATCTCGTATCTGTTTAAGGTTAACTTTTTGCTCGCATGCTTCATTTTGCTAGATCTTTTTTGATATGATGCAAAACAAAATTGCTTATTAAAAAGCTTACTGTTTTTTTACTTCACTACTCAATCGCAGTGGAGGGGTTGTTAGAAAATAAGTTTTTTGCCGCACTTTTCTGCAGTGTTTTAGATTTAACATGATCCAAATGGTGCCGGAGGAGATTTCTTTGCTGCATAAACGTTCTGAGGAGGAAGCAAATAGAAAAAGAAAATTAATGGCTTTTTTTGATCAGAAAAAAGCAGAGAATGAGAAACGTGAGCAGTTGTTTAAGGCTAGAAGTGAGGTATCAATCATTTTGGTTTCAGGGTATCTTTATTAGTTGCTTATTCTGTTACATTCTTCATTTCATTTCCGTTTTCTCTCGGTGGTTTCCTTCGGTTTCAGGCGTACGGGCACAATTTGGAAAACAAATTTGTTGGTATTGGGGGCATAACAAAGGCAAGTGCACTGCAAATTCATCTGCTGTCTAGAAATGAATTAAGCTGGCTTAATTTTCCAGAGGAAGAGAAAGTTTTTGATTTGAGCTTACATCGTGAATCTTTTTTAAAACAGTTGAAAGCTTCTTTGACTTGGGCGTCAATACATCTTCTGAAGTAACAATGTATGCTGACAAACTTCCAGTCGTTGCTTTTATCTGTGTGTAAGGAACGAGTATATTTTAGGTTGGTTCTGTTACTCAGTTGGACAAAAAAGCTTCTAGTTTCTTGCAAAAGGATTCACCTAAAGATAAAGAGGAGTTAAATGTTTTTGAACCAAAGGTAAATTTATAATGTGAGGCTAAAGTTTCTTCTATTGAGTATGGTTCTTAACATTTAAATAACAGGATAATTTGTTTATTACGGTTTCTTAATTATCTCACCGTTTTTTGAAAGCAAAAGTTATTTTTTTATTTTTGTAATTATTGCCTAACCAGTAATTGATTGTTTTTTAGCTTTCACGCGATTTGAATTCTGAAGGAGGGCTTTTAGTAGACGACAGATCATTAAACATGACTGTTGAAGAATGCGATCGTCACCCATTCTTGTTTTCTTTGATGGATTGTAATGTTCTAGAAGATTCTGAGCTTTTTGAAGAAGAAGACGGCTTTTATGAGCTGACTGCTGCTGACGCTCGAAAACTTCAGAAGGAGCTTCATGAACAAGCGTATGATCGATTTATTTG